ATAACTAATGATGTCGGAATAAAGCAGGAGTATCTAAGTCTACAGGCTGAGTTAAAAAATAATATTAAACTCACGAAGAGGAAGGTAGAAAGGACGATTGCATTGGAGGCTAAGGATGACATTAAAAGTTCCTTCCAATATTTTAACTCCAAAAGTGCTCCCAAAGCTGGAATCACTAATCTGCAGGATAATAAGGATCTTATAATTGAAAATTAAATTGATACAGTTAATGAGTTTAATGATTGTTTTGCATGGGTATTCACTGTAGAGGACACAAGTAACATACTGAGTCATTACTAATCCAGTGTTGTTTGTGAATGATATATGTTTCACTGAAGCTGATGTGCTACAAAGCCTAGCTAAGCTCAAAATAAATAAATTGCAGGACCCTGATGGCATCTTACCTATACTTTTAAAATAGATGAGGGATATTATTTGCCCAACTTTACTATTTCAGAAATCCCTATCTACTGGTATGGTACCTTCTCATTGGAAACATACAAATATAAGGCCCATATTCAAAAAGGGGATAGAAGTAATCCATCAAACTACAGGTTAATTAGTTTAACTTGCATAAATGGAAAAGTAATGGAAGCTATAATCTAACTGAAAATTTTTGATTACCTGGATTCACATAACATTCTGAGGGATAGCCAACATGGATTTAGGAGAGGCAGGTCCTGTTTGACTAATGTACTTGAAAGTCTTTGAGCAAGCTACAAGAGAAATTGATCTCAAAAAGGCCTACGATGTCATTTACTTAGATTTCCAGAAGGCCTTTGATGTTGTCCCCCACAAACAGGTCCTGCTTAAGTGCAAAGCTGCAGGGATTTTAGAAACTATAGCAGCTTGAATTGAAAACTGATTAACCCTCTGGGGACTAGGGGTAGGGAACACACTTTCAGTGACTGAGGCATGATCACACACTTCTTTCAATATCATAAACTTAATTTGTGCAAATAAATTATTTCTTACATATTTGTCTTGGCATTACACTCATCTTAATTTTAATGTATATTCTAAATATGTCAGATTTATGTGAAGTTTGTAATTTGACATCAAAGTATAGACATGGCAAAATATAGTTTGGAACACATGCAGAAACATTATAAAAGTACATAGTAAGCAATGGTGCCAGTTTGTTTTGATCCCAGATATCTGATCACCAAAGTCTTGGGTATATGAAGATGACTAAATGGTGTAGTTGCAACATTCAGTTGGATAAATAAGAAAAACCTAACTCATGTCACTATTCCTGGCCTACTCCTATTAAATATGTAGGAGCTCTCGTGTATACATGAGCCATTCACACTTGGCCACATCCCCTCTCCCTTTTATGGTAAATGGACTGCATTTTATATAGCGCTTTTTACTACTCTTATGAGTACCAAAGCGCTTTACAGTTATGCCTCACATTCACCCATCCACACTCACATTCACACACCGGTGGC